GATCGATATTTGTTCCTATCCCAAAGAAAGGCGACCCAACCGAATGTGGAAACTACAGAACAATTTCACTGATTTCACATGCAAGCAAGATTTTACTGGAGATTATCCAAAAACTACTGGAACAGCACATCAACAGAGAACTACCAGAAGTCCAGGCTGGTTTCAGAAGGGGTCGTGGTACTAGAGATTTTACTAGGTATAAGATGAATATTTTATATTGTTATTGTTTTTAATTCTTTTATAGTAGCACTTACTTATTGTCATCAAGTCAGAACCACCTCACAGCTGATCCTCTCATTGGGTTTCCAAGGCACAAGAAAGATGGGATAATGATTACACATCTTTCTTCTTTGGAGCTACTGGTGTATTCAAATGACTTGGGTTAGCAGTGCAGTGGATTATGTCACCTGACCTGTCCCAGTATAAACATAATTTAAAAATATTGGGTTACTATTATTATGCATTATTGCTGAATATTTATGTAGACCACATTTTCTGATACTTAAATATTTTGACAGAAAAATAGGGGTTTAGTTCATAGGAAATAATTACAGATTAGAATTGGAACTAGCAAGCTAACATTGAACAGCCAATACAAAGCACTGCCTTTCTCTAATAGAAAATATTTTTAGATCCATTTTCTCACCTTCTTTTCTTTATTCTTCCTAGGAACCTTTCTCCCTCTTCCCATTCTCCTTATCTTTTCTCACACACACATTCTCTCTCATTATCTCTCTCCCGCTTCCTCTTTCTCTCTCTCTCTCTCTCACACATATACATAAATACACACACACACACACACACACACACAGACACACACACACACACACATCCCAGACAGAGAGAAATTGTAATCACCCTTTGTGGAGAATCCACTTAACTTTAGGAAGTACTGAAAAGAAAACAATCCAACATAAAATAATGGAGTCTTTTAGACAGTGAAAGAAAACTGCTCCAGTAACAGAGAAATGTGTTGTATTATTGTCTTAACTTATGTTTGACTTTCTTTTGATTAATATTAAAAACGTTAACTTTCTCCCCTAAGTGATTGAGAATATTCCTGCTTACAGAACTCCTGCCAACTGGAAAACTTTTATCAGTGTGTTTTTTTATAAATCATAAATTACAGTAGCATTATTAATTTATTATTATTCAACCTATGAACATTTGTGAATGATTGTATACATTTCTAGTTTTATAAGAACATACATGAATTTTAGGAAAACTACATAAGTCATAGCAAAGCTGTTGTTGTTGTTATGTGCCATCGAGTCTCTTTCGACTCATAGCTATCCTGTGTACAACAGCCCTAAACTCTGCTCTATCCTGTACCAATAGCACTGTCTCCAATACACCCATCTTGATTACCCCAGTCACTGAATCAATCCACCTCATAGAGGGCCTTCCCCTCTTGCGCTGTCCCTCCACTCTACCAAGCATGATGTCCCTCTCCAAGGACAGGTCCCTCCTTACAACATGTCCAAATTATGTTAGACGAAGCCTCAGAATCCTTGCCTCCAAGGAGCCGACTGGTTAAACCCTTTCTAGGATGAATCAGTCACCACCCTCCATTGCATTTCCAGGCCTATAAACCTTAACGGGAGAAATACTGATCTTTCTTCTGAACTCCCATATTGGACAACACAATAAAGGACATTTCCATCACAACTTTGTACTGGACAGTGCTGCTACTAAAATAGGAAGCTCTGTTGGCTTAGTGGTAAGGAGTCGCATTGCCAACCCAAAGATAGGAGGTTTTAATACACCAGCTGCTCTAAAGGAAAAAAATGGGCAATCTCCTTCCATGTGATTTACTGCCTCTGAAAACCTGCTGTGGGGGTCAGCTAAGGGTTGGTTCCAA